TGTGATTTCCATCAGCTCTCCTTTTTGGCATTTCCATTTTAAATTTCCGGGGAATCATTGGAATTTCATAGAAGATTGAAAATAAACAAACCCCAACTATTAATTAACCCTATAGCTAACCTACAGCTTCAAAATTTGTTAAACAGACAAAAGGAATTCACAGCAGTTAAGAATGCACTTTAAGGTTTAGTTAAAGAGGTTACATCTTTTGAATTTGTTAAATAAAGTCTGCATCCTTTCAACATGGGGCCATTTCCTTTCATTTTCATTTTCCTTTCACCGTATGCATAAATTTTCAGACCACATCTTACACAAAACAAGTAAGGGCATTGAGACAGAATTACACTGCAAGTAAGATTAATTAGAGATCAGAGCAAAAATTAAAAGGAGGAATCTAGTTGGTAATTAATAATGACAGCTATGTTTAAAAAAATAGAATTAATGCAAAAAAAGTTTTAAAATGCCCTCAGTAAAAGGTTGCATAAAAACAGGAACACACCATGACTCATTCTTCATAAGCTTTATTATTTACTCCACCTACAGTACTGATGTCACTTTTAACAGATGCACAGAAATATTCTCAGCCATTTGCAACAGTATAGTAAGATTGAATAGGGCTATAAATCTCCAAAGTGCAGCACAAACATAGAGAAGGATACAAAATGGTGACATACAAGGCAAGTAAAGTGACTTCTTGTAGGACAACAGAGCAATGCAGTGAATCAAGGTTGAGTGAATCCCAGGTTCTCCTTAGCAATGAGTCACATCAGATATCTGGGCTGCTTATATTTGCATTTAGTTTTCAGTCTTTCAGCCTATTAACAGAAAATCTTCTAAATATCACCTATGGATCAGACACTATGCAGTGTTGCCTTCTTGAATTTATAGGCAAATAGAAACCATGAAACTACACAGTCAGAACTACTTTCAAACCTGGAGGCTAGCTACTGAAATTTTATAAGAACTTTTCAATTTACCTATACATTCTGAGAAGTATAACTGCACAGAATATGTATGCAAAAAGAGCAGCAGCAGCAATGGCTATGTTGCTTGTACTATCCCTCCTCAGCCCCATTAACTATGGATGCTGAATTCAGGAGTGAACTACCTTGGCTTAGATCCTAGGAGGAGTGTTCTGCTGAAAGGGATCTCAAGGCCAGTAAGAATCTCCCTCTCTTACAAGAAAAGACTTGCAGATTTCACAAATGATGCAAGCACAGCTCTCCCTGGATTTCTGGTTTGTAATGTAAGTTGCACTGAGATTTTTCAAGTTACCACTAAAGCAGAAAGATGCCAAAAAGAAAGAACATGGCCCAAATTCTAAAATCCACAGAAAAATACATTGCCCATTACACAGAAATGAGCTTGACTTGGTGATTAACAGTCATTATAGGTTTGCCTGCACACACAGATCCATGTGGGTGTATCCTGCTCACTACAAGAAATAAAGAAAATATTTATATTTTTAGAGAAAAAGCAACTGTACTGTTACACTCTAATGCTACAATTATCTCATTAATTTATGTCTTTTTATAAATTCTTAATAGAAAACATTTTGCTGAATTTTTCCATTTAGTCTGGAGCACATATCTGAAAGAACAGCTTCACCAAAACCTAGAATATTACTGCAATGCCAGAGGCATTTCTTAAGTTTCAAAATTTGTGAAAATCTGAAGGGTGAAGTTCTGACAAGCACATAGTAGTTTTAATTGATACTATAAATATCTTGACTCCCAGAAAACCAAAAATCCCATAATACTGCATATTTGAAAGTTTTCTAATTTTACTGTTGCTGTTTAAACACTTCACATGAGCCTTAATCCACTGTAGCAAAGCTCATGCTCACTTTAAGCAGGTTAGCATTCCAATTCAGCTCAAGGGGATGAGCATACTACTCAAGTGATTTGTTTGATCACTGTCTAAAATTTAAAATTCACAATGGTACCAAGAGGAGGCTGTTATATTTCCACGCTATTTGCAGTAGACAGTCTATACGTCTGAGTACCCCTCTTACTTGTGCGTGCCCATGAAGAAACCACTTGCAAAGTGTTTTACTATTGCAGGATCAAGACATTTAAAACAAATCTTTCAAGAAGTCGATGGAGTACAATCTGAAAGGTAGGATTATTGGTTTTTTTTATTCTCCTTGTGTAGGTTTAAAACTTACTGGCCATCCACTATTGTAACTTCAGTATTCCACAACATAAAACACCTCTGGGTTATTTTTCTCTCTGCAGTACTCCACAATAATTTCTAATGGCAGTGCTCTGCTGCTGCAAGCACTGGTGAGAAAACAGGTTCTGAACTATGTTTCTTTCCAAACCCTAAGGTTCCTGATGCAGCAAATTTGCCAGTTTCCACTATGAAGTTTAGAAAAAGACACTGTACAGAAGAAATACAGGAATAAGTTGAATCAATCTAAATCAGTTAACAGAGGTGAAAAATGGCAGGAGAAAATGTGGAAATGCAGGTAAATGGTATGGGAAGAACAAGCTAAGTCAAGCGGGGGAAAGAAAGAGGGGGATTTGGGAAAAGAACTAATTGGAAAACAAAAATGTAAGGATTAATTTGGTTGGAGAGGGAGAGCACCCTGACTTCCGACAGTTTCCTTACAAAAAGCTGCGTGTTATTCCATGAAATGGTCAAACACAAAAGCACAATATCCTGACAATTTTTAAAAATCTCCTTAATCCATTTGTTGGGTTTTGGGGGGTTTTTTGGTTTGGTTTGGGGAGAGGGGGAGAATACAGCTTTTGCTTGGGTTTTTTTAACTTTTTTTTTTCAGAAGAGAATCATTGACTCATACAAATTGCTTTTGGCTTTATCCAATTTTCTTTGTATTAAGAGAGGCTGATGTTCTGAGCAGTACAACAACACCGTAATATCTGCCACTGGCAATATTTCAGATGATATAAACAAACCAGAAGCATTTGAAATATTCAGGGCAAAATGATTTTTGGGGACACTAAGCTACAATTGAATACCAGAACTGAGATCATGTATCCTGTCTGGCCTCAATCCTCCCTAAAGGCCTATACACAAAAAACTCCAATACCTATATTTGAAGCAATCTCCATAGACATCCAAGTTTACTTTCAGAATATTACTCCCTTAAGTAAATGTGTATGGCATACTTAAAGGATAAAGGCCTGCTGAACTCCAGCAGTATCTCTTCATGCCCACTTCCAAAGACTCAACAGGGTAAAAAAAAAAACCAAACAAAAAAACCCAGAAAAATCAAACCAACCAAACAAAAAAATTCAAACCAAAACAAAACAAAAAACACCAAGGAAGTACTGAAACCTTTCAATAGAACTGATGTGCAACCAAGGGTTTTCGATAAGCTAGAATGGCAGAATTACAGAAGTTACCTTGATCAGACTTCATTGTTGTTTTCCTAAGTTTTATTTTCTTATTTTAACTTACAAAAATTTTATGATATCTAAAACATATGAGATTTCCACCTTCTCTCCTTTTTCACCTTCCTCTGTTCACCAGATTACCTAAAGATTCAGTCTTTCAACAGTATATTTTAAATGTCTTTAGCCCCAAATTGCTGCAGAAGGCCAGTAAATTGTTTCTGCACAGAACTCACAGGCAAATACAAGAAACAACAGCTTCCAGCAGATGGATCAACAAAGACCTAGATTTCATAGTATACAGTGTGCTGCTGTGCAACTGTACAACAATGTGCATGGGACAACCAAATAAAATACCTGGGAAGCAATCTGGCTTGCCAAGTTTTTCTCACAAACTAAATCTTATGACAGTATGCTGTAGCCTTCATGCTCACTGTCTGATATTTTCCATTTTCCAAATGTCCCAAGTAGAATTTCTCATTGATACCACCATCCATAAAACTAATACAATAAAAAAGACATTTTTTCAGGAGGCCACAAAAGATAGCCCTTTTATATATATATATATATTCAGTTGAGAAACAATCCACATCTAGAACATATTTCTATATTTAAGCAGGCTTATACTCTTCAGCTGATTCTGCAAATGGAGATCTAAGGAAAAGTGACTTCTGGGCCAGGAGACAGGAAACAAGCAGCTAGCTCCACAGCCAGTTATGCTGACATAAAAATTCAAGTAAAAAAGATTTGTTTGCTTTCCTGTCAGTACTGCAAAGAAAATCAAACTGCAGTTTCTGGCTCATTCAGCCCCAGATTAATAAATATTCTGAAAGGCAGATTCTGTCCTTATTTACATTCTCCCAGTCACTTCTGGTGAGGGTGCAGGAAACTAAGGCCACATCATGGCCAGGAGACAATTTGTTTTGTATTCACATTGTCATGCGGATCCTGCATTGCTATAGGATCTTAGGGACCATGATACCAGTTCAAATCAGTGACCTGAGTGACCAGCAATATCCCAGTTTTCAGCTCAGTGCCTGAGTTTAGTGCCAGTTCATGTTTAAGTCACAGGTAGGTATTGAGATCCCCCAGCTGTGCCTCATCAGGCACTCCAGTTCATCAGTTTGCTCAGCAGAATCTCACACACAGCCAAAACGGGACATAGCCAAAAGCAAACGTGTCAAGGACTGAATGCAACTGCAGACCCTGACATATTGACACTTTCTTCAAATGCATCCTCCTTACCTCAGCATTTGCCCTTCCTCAAATTCAGCTAAAATTTCAATATGATCTTTCACCAGGGACAGCAACATCTTTAAATATTGTTATATTTAACAGCTGTCTTTGACCTCTCAGCAACTGTTGGATTTATGCAGTCCTCAAAATTTACCAGACTTTAATATATCTATGGATTAAGCATCATGTTTTTGTCCTCTCTCTCTCTACTCTGGCATTCTAAATTTTTTGAGCCCTGTAAGGTTAGGTCCTTCTTTGTACCTCATCTTTCATCTAAAAGTTGAAATTTCATTTCTTCGGCTATCCCTGTAGACAGAACTAGAAGCAACTGTAAGAAAGTTATCATCAGACCTTTAGTTTTTCTCATTTCCTTTATATTTTAAAGATAGGTCTGATGGACCTACTGAGGGAAACAAAACAAACAAAAAAATTAATCACCAGATTTGGAATTGTATGTATTTTTTAATGCCAGGAGAAATGTTTCAGCCACTAGGAAAAAAAGAAAGTATAAAGAACAATGACATGCATATAAAAACCTCAGTGTGTCCCATGAAGTAGACAACTAGGTAGAAATTAGTCAGTGGAGGGACTCATCAAGATTTTATTTTAAGTAACCCAAAACATCTCCATGATTTCAGTGTATGATTGTTTCTCAAGTAGGCACACAGAATATGGATGGACTCTGTAAAAGGCTTGTGGTCTTCAGCATGTTCAGACCAGGCCACTGAACAGGGTTGAAATTACAGAATATCACAGAAGCAGGGTAGAGCAGTTCAAACTTAGGTCTGATCCTCCAGCTAATATGACAAGGGAAAATACCTCGGACGAGCATTGAGTACACCTCAAAGTACAGATATTTCTCGCAAGAGCTAGGAAGCAGCCTCTTGCATATTTACAGAATAGGAACCATATGAGAAGACAGGAAACAGCAGAGTATTATGAAGTATTTAAATACTTCAGAAATAATTAGGAGCAAATAATAGCTTTCAACAGCTATACCACCATAATGTGAACATGAAATAGAATTTCCAAATCATAGCTTTTATTTTTGCTGCAAAATCTTTATAAAGTACCTCATATTTTAAAATAATCATAAAAAATTTAACTTGAACAGTTATGGTATACATCACTTGCCATGCACTTCTCTTTCAGCAGCCGCATGCAATCAAGTCAATCTCTCTGTATGACATCTTCCTACTATTCTCTTGGGAAGCCATAAGAGCAATGATCCTTTGAAATCCATAACCAAGACATCAGTAGCTGTGTTTTAAAAACTGGGGAGCAAATAATGAGACATTATTACCAACAGGAAGAGAAAACTGCTTGGACTGCCACATACTGTCATACATTTATTCCCTGTTTGAGACTCTTTTTATATATCTTTGCATATCTGTGTATGACACTTAAGGAGAGGTAACTTTACAAACACTTAAGGAGAGGTATATTTATATAGAAATGCAGCTTTACAACCTAACTTGACATGTTATTTGTTTATCAGAAAGATTATGGTACAAAAATGACAAACCACTTCCTCTGCTGAATCCCTTCAAGACTGACAAATGGAGCAAAGGAGTTGAGTTTTTCTCCTGGAAAGATTCACTGCAACATATATATGACATACATGAAAGACATGATAGAATACGGAGTCCAAGTTAAAAGCAAGAATTTATAATCAAATATCCATATGTACCTGTGCCAGGAGGGACAAGGCACTTCAGCTGCAAGTCTGCTGAGAGATTCTGAACCCCTTGCCCTAAGGTATGACTATACAGATTTCCTGTGGCCTGAATCCACAGGGTGTTGCTAAGACTTCAAAGACTGGCAGGTGCATTAAGACCACATCTTACAGAGACTAAGAGAACAACATTCAACCTCAAACACAGCAACCACATCAAGCCAAAACCATCGAGAAGGCAGTGACTATTTTACACAGTATTCAAAGAGTTAGAGAATTCCCTCATTAGGAGGGTCCCCAGTTCAGTTTGACCCCAGTCTCAAAGCCATACCTCACAGCTATCAAAGTCACGTCCTTGATGGCATGCTCTGAAACAGGCTGCTGAAGCCTGCCACTGGGAAAGGAGCTGGTCCAGGTAAAGTGTAAGCAAAGGAACCTTGTGAATTGTAGACCCATGGCAGCATTATTCCAGGCCCTGATTCTAGATTTGTTTCTATGTTAAATGTTTTAAAAAGGCATTGGATACAACCAAGGTTTTTCCGAGCAAGAGCTGGAACCCGAGAATTCTTCCTCCAAAGCGCAAAGTTGCACAAGATTACAAAGAGACACTTTAACCTCTCAAGAGAGACAAATTCAGGTACAGTCCCTCTGCTACATAAAAATTGGCTATAACTATTTTGAGGCCAGAGCAGTGCTGCCAAACACAGATCCCCACTTGGGCTTAGCCTAACACAATTACTGCATGAAATATAGTTTCTCTGCTGATTACTTCTTTCACATATACATGACTATCTGTTTCCCATATCCAGTTTTTGCCTTGTCACATATTTACACCATACATCCCTTAGGAAGGAGCACATTTCTATGTTTGCCTCCGCACAGTATGGGACTATACAGGATTCAGGGTTTTAGGCCCCACAATTAAACAAGCTATTATATTTTATGAGATTAACAATTTTAAGAGAAAGGAAATATAAGCTTCAGTAACTTAAACACTAGACAGTGATGTAAGTTTGGGAAGATCAAATGTAAAAAACAAGCAGGGTTGAAGAGGAAATGAGTGTTTTATGCTACAAGCTATATTTGGTTTTCCTTTATGCAAACTGGTTTAATGACTGTGAGAGTTTTACCCTTTGCCCCACTCTTCCTCTTACTCATTAAAAATAAAACAATCATTTTGTATGGCAAATAATGGGGGTAGGGAAATGTTCTGTGACTTAGTGCTATGAGTGATGAGGAACCAGTCAGAGAGAATGCATTTCCTTTTAATTATCTTATAAATATTTTAAATCAATTGCAAAAAGCATAACAGGAAAAAAAGGATGTGTACAGATCACCTCCAGGTTGTAGCCCATGTCCCCTCTAGGGCATTCTACTGCACTAATAATGGCCTGACAACAAGGTCCAACTCTCATGTAAGCTTGGCCTCACTCTCTCACAGGTGTTTATGAAAAAATTCAACAGCTACCAGAGATATTAGAAATTAGTCAGTGAATGAAAGAGTAAAAGAATGACTTCTAAAGAAATAAAAAAAAAGAACTGACAGGATGGAAATAGAAATAGGAACCTATAATGAGAATAAAACACAGCACTTCATTTATTAACTAATACTGTCAGGAAGCCACTAGAAATAAGTGAAAGATCTGGCTGTCCTTATTGGCTTGGACAGAAAGACATTTTGAGAGGAGCTAGCAGGATTTAACATAGCAATGTATATTATTAAATTTTTTGGAAGATCAGCTTAGGCAAAGACCAACAGTCACAAATCAAAACAAAACACCTTTTGTAAAACTGATAGCATCTACTTTTCATTACCTTTCCCTTCTGCCAACACCCCTGCAAATAACAAGTGCAGGTGTGGTGCTCAAGCTGCACTGGCAACATCCAAGCTTCCCTGCCTTGGGACCTGCCCAGCGCTGTAGCTTAGTTTGGTGCAAAACAGCTGCATGAAAAAGCAATAATTTGAAGGGGCAATGTAGAAGCAGAAAACCCATCAGGATCTGAGAAAAACATCAGGATCTCTCGTGGCATGGGGAGAGAGCAGCTGTAAAGAAGTGGAGCCGTTTCTAATGTTGCATTTGCAGCAATCCAGAAGCTCCCCATTCCAGCTGAAGTATTTACACTGGCATGTAACAATTGGCAGGTATTGCCATTGCCAACTATACTGGTATAATTTTTTGACAGTACAACTACACATATGTAAGATAATTAGCACTTCATCATCATCATGGCTGGGCTTCGCGAACGAAGATTTGGGAAGGCTCTATCCACATTTGCTACAGGCACGCTGGTGGCTTATGAGGCCAATACGTGACAGACATATCCGATTGCAAAAGGCACAGCAGAAAGACTCCTTAGATGGTGTATTCTGCAATACACGGTTCTTTCTGCGTTGCCTTTTCTCCTCGAGAGTGATCCTGCGTGTGTTCTCAAAGGAGACAGCTGCGTTATAGATGGCGGGTCTCCAGGCCTCCCGATTTGAGGCCAGAGTAGACCAGTTATGGTGATCAATAATTAGCACTTATTTTTCTAATATAAGCAGAGCAGATTAAATCTGACCTTTTCTCAGCTCTTTGAGAATACAAGTGTAAGCAGATATTTCCATTACTCTCACCATCCTGACTGCCAAAGGAGTTTCTCATCAGATCGTAGCCAGACATCACACTGGGAGGATGCTCTTCCCCATTGTTGAGAAATATCACAGCATGCACTCACAATTAAAGGGCATAATTGACCCCTGCACAGTAGACACACCTCTCAGCTAGGAGACTGCACTCTTCCTTGGATGGTGTTATAAATAATGCAAATATATAATACACAGTTTATTCTATTACAGTACTATTTCATGTACATGGTAATTAGTGTTGACCGCTAATGTTGTGATTCTGGGACAAAGAGCATAGAAATTGCTCATTTTTGTCAACCACTACTATTGCACATTTCCTGGATAAACATTTACTACATGCATACATTTTCAGATGACACCATGCAAATAGAAGTTAAAATCATGATAACATACTCCCACTGGCTGAGTGGTGAGTAGGCCATAGTTTGGTAATTAGCTGATGCTGTACTGATGGTTCATCAGGCAAGCATAGTGCTTGTTTATTTGGGTATTTGATATTCATAGAATCACAGAAAGGCTTGGGTTGAAAGGGACCTTAAAGACCACCTAGTTCCCATTCTCCTGCCAAGGGCAGGGATGGCACCCACTAGACCAGGTTGCTCAGGGTCCCATCCAACCTGGCCTTGAACACCTCCAGGTATGGAATATCCACAACTTCTCTGGGCAACCTCTTCCTGTGCCTCACTACCCCTTGGGTAAAGAATTTCTTCCTAATATCTCATATAAATTTCTCCTCTTTCAGTTTAAAACCATTTTCCCTTGTCCTATCACTATCTACCCATGTAAAAAGTTGTTCTCTTTCATTTTTATAAGCCCCCTTTAAGTAATGGAAAACCACAACAAGGTCTCCCCAGAGCCTTCTCTTCTCCAGACTGAACTACCCCAGCTTTCCTAGCCTGTTTTCAGAGAAGAGGTGCTCCAACCCTCTCAATCTTTAATTACTTTGCTCTTTAATCTCCTGAAAAGTATGGGATTCAGCTAATTAGAAACAATTCTGTTTAAGTGTCACTTGGTTTGCTTCTCCCCATGCTATGACTAGTGACATTCCTTTGTCATTTAAGGATTCAGCTATCCTGCCATGTATTACCTTGATGAAGCAAAAACATTTTGTGATATCAGACCTAGTTCCCTGGTAATGAAAGAACTACTCTATGTCAGAATACAAAACACCGAAATTTATGAGGCCATAAATATGTGAGTTCTACACATTTCCCATGCTTCTGATGACTGAGAACCTCCAGTTTTTGATACCTGCCCTGATTAAAACCTCTTTTGTCCCTTGAAAAAACTACAAGTCTAAATCAGTTTCAGTGATTAGTTTAGGTTTCACTGGAAAGAAGCCTAAATTATATCCCTAATTCCCTACACACAAAACCAACCTCAACCGTCATACCTTGAATAGCATACAGAACACATCAAATTCCTCCCAGCCATTGTCTGTACACAGTGTCAGTGTGTAATATCACCCAGAAGTTTGACACTTGAGTCCTGAAAACACAGAGTCAGGCCACTGCCTTGAACAACGTATCCATGTGCTAGATTCAGCCTGGCCAGGGAGAAAGAAAACAAAGAATTAAAAAAAAAAAAGTACATTATCAATGTTAACAACTGATGATAGTGCAAGGATTATTTGCATTCAAGTAACAATCACATTTATCTGTGAAACACAGGGGATCTAATTTGAAAAGGGAAAAAAAAACAGAGGGTGGCAGTGGGAATCAAACATCCAAAGCTGACTGCCATAAGTCAGCTAGTTAGGCAGTGGCTGAAGAAGTTTTATAAGTTTTTCATGAGTCCCTCTGTGTCAGCTTCTCTTATCTTCACCGTTAGCTGTACTAGAAATGCATGCAAACTGCTCAGTGGGCAAATAAGGCCTCGGTGGAGAATAAAAGTGCCTCGTAGACCTGTGCAGCTCCTCAGCTTTGTGAAATAAATGAAAATAGGACAAGCAACAATAACCTTGGCAATAACCTTGTGCCGGCAGGATAGCATAAGGCTCTTTCTGGCAGACACTCTGACACTTCTTATTCCCAAATATAGACCCTGACTCTCTCAAAACAGGAGAGTAAACTAAGCTGCACCAGAAAAAGCACTTGCAGAGTTCCCTTTTCTTGCAGAGCAGCACAGATAGCAAGGAGCGTAGGGTGACTAAAAGTCCATCCACAGGTCATATTTTGTCAGCAGGATGGCACAGCCAGGTATCTCACTAGGGCTGAACTGCAAGACGGCTGAAGCACAGAAACAACACCTCAGTGCTGCATTTTAAGAAAGTGTGAACAAAAAGACTGAAGTCAATTCAGCTAGAGAAAAACAGACACACGAAAATGGCCCATGAAGTGGGATCCCCTTCCTATAAGGGAGCATATTACAGTATTTCCTCAGGTTAGTTCACATATTTTAGATTTTATATGTCAATTCAGCTTTTCTGTGAAGCACATTTAAAATAAATTTCCAGATTAAGATTCAGTCAGGAAAATTGAAAGTAGATAGATTTCAGCCCAGCTTTAAGTACTGGTCTGAATGCAGGTATAAGCACAGATTTGTTATCAAATTTTTGCTCCCATAACAAGCACACTAAGACATGAGTTGTCACAGACACTAGAGACTCAACAAAAAGGATCAGACAACCACTTGAATTTTCACATTTTTTTCAGTTCCCACCTACATGCTAAAACGCAACTGTTCCAGCCCAAATGAGCTGCAACTTTCAGGTACATCAGTAAAACTGATTTAGAGTTTTTGAGAAAAGGAATTGGTTTTCAGAAATGTTCTGTTGTCAGAAAGAAAAAAAAAAAGGCTTTTATTGGTGGTGTTAGTCCCTACAGGCCATAATAGAATCATAGAATCAGCCAAGTTAGAAAACACCTCCGAGATCATCAAATCCAACCCTTGATCCAACACCGCCATGGTTACTAGACCATGGCACTAAGTGCCACATCCAGTCTCTTCTTAAAAACCTCCAGGGATGGTGAATCCACCACCTCCCTGGGCAGCCCATTCCAATGTCTGATTACTCTCTCTGTAAAAAATTTCTTCCTAATATCCAACCTAAACCTCCCCTGGCAGAGCTTAAGATCGTGCCCTCTTGTCCTACTGCTGGTTGCCTGGGAGAAGAGACCAACACCCATCTGGCTACAACCTCCTTTCAGGGAGTTGTAGAGAGTGATGAGGTTTCCCCTGAGCCTCCTCTTCTCCAGGCTGAACAGCCCCAGCTCCCTCAGCCTCTCCTCGTAGGACTTGTGCTCCAGTCCCTCCCTTCACCAGCCTTGTTGCTCTTCTCTGGACCTGCTCCAGCACCTCAATGTCCTTCCTGAACTGAGGGGCCCAGAACTGGACACAGTACTCCAGGTGTGGCCTCACCAGTGCTGAGTACAGGGGAAGAATCACTTTCCTGGTTCTGCTGGCCACACTGTTCCTGATACAGGCCAGGATGCCATCGGCCTTCTTGGCCACGTGGGCACACTGCTGGCTCATGTTCAGCTTCCTGTCAATCCAAACTCCCAGATCCCTTTCTGCCTGGCTGCTCTCCAGCCACTCTGTCCCCAGCCTGTAGCACTGCCTGGGGTTGTTGTGGCCAAAGTGCAGGACCCAGCACTTGGCCTTGTTGAACCTCATCCCGCTGGAATCAGACCATCTCTCCAGCTTGTCCAGGTCCCTCTGAAGAGTTCTCCTGCCTTCTAGTAGATCAACATTACCCCACAACTCGGTGTCATCTGCAGCTCGGTGTCATCTGCAATAGTTTGGGTTGGAAGAGACCTTTAAAGGTCATCTAGCCAAGGCCCCTGCAATGAGCAGAGACATCTTCAACTAGATCGGGTTGTTCAGACAGTTCTGGGCCCAGGATGTTTTGGGTTTCGCCTCAACCTCCCCTCTTCTCTCTCTCTCTCTCTCTCTCTGGAGCCCCTCTGGTCTCAGAATAGTGACTAAGGTCAGAAAAAAAAACCAGAAGATTTTAAGTGTTATCTGTACTTAAAGTTAAGTGAGATAGTTCATACAGATTATATTCGTTCAGTGGCTAAGTTATGTTCCTGCTCTTTCTTCTTTTACAAGCTTTTTCGTTATTCTCTCTCTCCCTCTACTACAGGCTGGTATTTTTTCTACTGTATGTTTACCAGTTTTCTAAATTTCTAAATATAATTCTTCTCATTTGTACTAGCCCTCCCACAATCTTTTTGTGCCTCTTTTATATTATCTGCGATTCAGATCAACTATTTCTCTGCCTCCACACCTCAGTAACATAGATTCACAGAATCGTTTGGGTTAGAAGGGACCTTTAAAGGTCATTTAGTCCAACCCCCTGCTATTAGCAGGGACACTGCACTTCCCTACAACCTAGGCAAGTCTGACCCTTTCTTGCACCTTGGCATATGCTGATGACAGCATCTGAAATTTTCTGAGAGGTGTGAATGCCTACTTAGCACAGAAGGCAAAATGCACCTCCCATTAGGAGAAGTTCATCAAGTGCTAGAGCTCTCTAAAGTTATTCCCACCCCACATTCTTTATATTTCTTCTCCACATATTTCCCTGCAAACACACTCTCTTCCCACATTTGCTTCTGTGCATATGTCTCCTGGCTGGTTAGCATTTGGCATCTAGGTAAAACCTCATTAACAAAAAAAATACCAAGTAAATTGTGTTTGTGTTACTAGTGAAGCAGCCAGACTTAATCTTCATGAGCAAGGGTTTCTATCCATTGCAAAGAGATTGGTAGCTACGGTCAGTAACCTTAAAATGCAAGGGTTTCACTGAGCAATTTTAAAATTGCTGCAAAACACAGCAAGCTGATGGGGAAGACACTGGCAGGATCAAGTCTGAAAGGTGGAAAAAGTCATCAGAAAGAGGTGCCTCAGGCCCCTGGGGGATACATCATTCAGGTTCAGCAGTCCAGATAATATACATGTAGGAAAAAACTCCTTACTTGGTAATCTAGAAAGGATGGAGGAGAGGGAAAAGCTAAGCAAAAACAGAAGCATCAGGGTGTGGTAGGAAAACACCAAACAAACTGAAAAAACCCAACTGGCTTAAAAAGAATGACCCAAAGTCAGAGTTTATCAGTTTGAGATCTACTAGAAAAAGCTATTTTAATATGCTCTTCCCTCAGCTTTCTGCCTCTGCTACTGGAGGTGTTTAAAAAGAATCTAAAAATAAAAATCAAGATAGAATTAAAAATACACCATGAGCAAAAATAATACTGACCTTTTTCTGTTTCCATGTAAACTCCCAAGAATATTGAAAAAGGTGCCAAACCATTTTTATGTCTCAAAAATATTTCTTCTACCATTTTCATGACATTATCTAATTTGCCTTTTGTTTACTCATTACACAACCACAGTTTAAATAGACAATACAAGCTATGTTATTACATGATTGAAAATCAGATACCTTGTGTTTCTCAAATCTGATAAAGCAAGGCAGACTTCTCTTAAAGCACATTGTGGCTTGAAATGCAAGGTTGCGGTTTTGGAGTCAGACATTATTCTTGTTATCTTCACCATGGCCTCACACTTTAAAGAAAAGATTATTCTCTTCGCAGGTGCCACCATAAATGTATTTAACAACCTCCCCCTTTTTAGCATTTGTTTTACTGATGGGATTCATATCCTGCTCTACTCAAATTAAGACCAATTACTGTTTCCCTCCGTAGTACAATTTTATCCAACTCTTTTTAAAATGGTTGCTCTTCTGTATCATATTCCTTCAAAGGAAGAAAGTCTTTCATAACATCAGGTCTTCTTGGTCTCTGTGTGAACACTCATCTAATACATTGCAAGGACATTATATCTAGACTATCTTTTGCAAATGGCTGCTAGGGTGGCTGGGGAAAACATACACAAAGTTGTCTAGGATTAATGGCAGTTTTGATCTGAATTCTGAGAATCTAAACGTTCAGTCCAAGCATTTTACTGCCACTTTAGACAGGCAGCCTTTCTCTTTTTTTTTTTTTTTTGGGAGGGGGGGCGTGGAACTAGCCCCCAGAGTGTTCTTCAAGGGAGCATTCCACATCATGTTTATCTGAAACTATCTAATCAATTTACCAGCACATCTTATCTAACAGAATAAACATCTTACAAGGATGCAATGTTTCTAAACTCAGTATCAGTTAACATACCATTATCCATTGCGTGAAGTCTCTAATCCTCTTTTGTTTCAAGTCTGTAGCACATGCTTGATTCAAACTGCTCCAGACAGTAGTTTTTCCATTAATGGAACTATGAACATCACACAATACATAAGTCTTTAGAGCTAGGTACCTAAAACAAGGTAAGTAGGACTAAAGCATGCCTTTTCATCCTATAAAAGCAACTGTTTCCCAGAATTATTTTCCAGCTTGATTTGAAAGATTATTATAAATGAAAGAAAAGGGCAAGGGAAAAAAAACAAGCCAGTGTTCAGACAGTGACATTGTAAAACCATATTCCTATTTCAGGGATGTGAAATAATTTATAAGATAATACAATATACATTATTTTCCATATGTAATAGTTTATTCATGCCAAAGGGCAGATCCAGTTGTATCTAATCAGTGGAAAAGCTTAATGCGATAGCTGCAGAGATATTTCCCACAGTAGTTGTATTAAAAAAAAAAAAAAAAAAAAAAAGGAAAGTGCTTTCTATGGAAACTAAAATAGTAATATCAATGTATAATTGCTTTATATTACAAGTGTCTCTACAACAGAATAAAGGTCAGCAATTAGCACTTCTCAATGCTTCAAACCTATCAGCAAGATTTTGTGCTTAAAAAAAAAAAACCACATAATTTATAAATAAAAGTCCTGAGTAGGAAATCTGTCAGATAAAAGTTTAAACAGAAGCAGCCTGACTTGAAGTGCCCACTCTCAGCTAGAAGCAACATCTATTGTACTGGTCACCATACAAACCTATAAACTTTAAAGCCAAGACAAGGGCATTTCAGTGGGTTCACACAGCAACTGACAGCAATTGAAGTTATTTCATCTCTGGTAAATCACGATAATATTTGCATACTCTTAGCCCACAGGAAGGATAGGGTTTGGTAGAGACTAGAGAAAGAGGCTTAAAATAAGCCAAGTTACATTGTCTTTCCCATGAACAGAGATCACACAGTGACTTATCTGACACGTGGTAACCTGCCAGCCACTGAGACCTGAAGCTTGAGTCTATCAACAGCTGGCCAACTTTATGCAGTTTTTATTTCTTTCAGTTTATAAGCAGGTTTAAGCTAAAACTCAAGATGTCAATCAAACCGGAACAAGTTTCCACACAGGGCTTAGCTCGACTGTATTAGCTTCAAACCAGCCTTAACCTAAAGAAGAGCTACAGTTAATCCAGCTTTTAACACGATCAAAGCAAATTGTATTAAGAATTCCCCTTTGGCTGGAATAGATGGCTATACCAGCCAGCCTAAATAAGCCCCATATCTAGTCAAACCTGTCCAAACACCTTTGTAATGTAGAGCAACTGCACATAAGGAGGGTAAGTACACTCAATCATCTCGCCAGTTATTGCATCCTCTTCAGATGAAAAATGCTGTATCAGGATTCCTGCTTTGGTGGTGTTGAGGGATGAGAACACAGTACAAGATTAGCAGAGATGTGGAAGAGAGACCGCATTTCAAGGAGAGAAGCAGGACCAAGACAGAGGAAGCAAAGCAGTTGGCTTACAAGCCATCCCAACGAGCACTGAGCTACATCAAGCTGGCTACCTGATAGAAATTTCTTCTCCAGAACAGTTCACATGCAGACAAAGACAAAAAGTATTGGAGCAGTTCTACCCTAGCTAAAACCTGTTGCTGAATGACTGTAGGCCCTTAGAGGCTGCAGGAATGAGAGGCCTACATCAGGTATTTAGTTCAGTGCAAAGAGGTAGTCAGATTTTAGGGGGATGAAAAAAAAGGAGAGTTTTGATTTACATTTCTGCTAGCATAATCGCTGGTGTGCAGATCAGGCCATGCCTGGCAAGAATAAATCAATACTACTTTCCTTGAATGTTTTGTGAATAAATGACTCCAGAAAACATCCTGATCTTGCATCATCAGTTTCTGTTTGATGGGAAGTGAGCAGCTGTCCTTAGGCAATGGCAAAAGTATGCAAGGTTGTAGAGCATCTCGAGAGAAAAAGAAAGAGCCTGAATATCGATGGACAGAACATATTAAACAATCTGTCTTGACTTGATTAATTTGATATAAGATAGCCCCAACCCACAAAGAGTACTGGGGACTTTAGGATTTTTGCATATTCTGATCTAGGACTTCAGTTTAGGTTTAGAACAGAAAAGTTCTCAAGGGTCCATACCAGCAAAACGTTTCTTCCCATAATAAAAGACATTGGCATAAGAAGTGTATAATAGATAGTTCTTAGCATCTCACTGAGTCAGGCAGTGACATACACACAGTGCATGCAATATACAGATATGTAGCAAAACAGTCTGCTAGTTCTAGTCAAACTCTGGAATTTACTGTAGTAAAATGCAGGTGCAACACATTGCATATAATAAAATGCCAATCCCAGGAATTTGTCTGTGCCTCACTAAGAGATAGTTCCACAAAAACGCTCAGTAGCTGTCACAGAAGTGAATGGAGACAAGGAGATATTAGGAAAGAATAAATCTGTGGTTCCAAACACCTTGAGAAATCTGCATTTGTGGTTCCCATGCATCATTTGGAAAGGATGTTGAAATGCAAAAGACTTAGAGAACACAAGGACAATTTATAGACATGAAATTATATCACTATGGTTAACATTTAAATAGATAAGGATTCTTTAGACTGTGTATCTGAACTGAAGGGGCAGTATAGGACCTGTTCTATAGTGACAAAGGCA